CAGGGAACCCCACAGAAGAAGTAGGAAAAGTGTAAGAACCAGAGAGGATGTAACAAGGAGAACAAAGCCCTCTACACCAACTGAGCAAAGGTCATATGAACTGAAACAGAAAGCGCATGGCTGGCATGAGTCTGCACGAGGTCCTCTGCTTTAAGTTTAGTATTTTATGGGACTCCTGAGTGTGTGAATCGGTGGATCTCTGACTCTTGTGCCTTCTCTTGAGACTCTTTTCCTTCTGTTATGTTGCCTTGTCCAACTTCAGTGTGATGGGCTTTTTAATCTTACTCTATTTTATTTTGTTATGTTGAAAGGATTGCTTCAAAATGATAAACTTAACATACAAAAAAATAAACTGAATGGAAAAAAGGAAACAGAAAGATGAATTAAAAAGAAAGAAATGCCCACATAAATGCCGTGGGCCAATCTGATAGAGGCAGTTCCTCAACTGAGCTTCTTTTTCCCCAAAGCCATTTGAGGTTCGGATCAAGCGATAGCTGAAAGTAGGACAAGTGCCCCATAAATATCTTTAAGATAAAAATGCTTATGAGATTTCAAACTTGAGCTTCACATATCAATTGCTACTTAACAAAACTCAGTTTTTTGCAGGTTGTACTTAACAGTTTTGACAAAAATCTTAGGCAAATTTTTAAGGATAATCCAAGTCTTATGTTTCTTGTGTCAAGTGTAATCAGTAATATAACGTATTTATATTACTACAAAATAATATAAAGTTTTGAATTCTCATGGCTTTAATTGATGCTGTTCTTTATTATTGTATTTCATGAGATCTAAGACAATATCAATTGGTAATTCCTTATTGTATTATAGAACACTAAGAATTAAAAATTAAAGTATAATGAACAAACAGCCACTAGTATAAATGAGTTTTTATTTGTAAATTCAACTGTCAAAAGAAAATACTTTTGAAATTACATTTGTAGAAATATAAGATGTATTACAGTAAATAAGAGGACTGCATAGGTTGTTTGCAAAAATAGTATCTTTTGCATTAGGACTTTAATCACCCCTGATTTTTAAAATATGAGTTGGGAGAGGAGGTTCTAAGTGACTATAGAGTACTATATTAACCAAACTTTTATTTCTGTTATAAAAAAAAAATAACTTAAAAGACAAAGAATCTATTTTGGCTCCTGGTTTCAGATGATGTAGTCCATGGTTAGCTGGATCCATTGTTTTGTGGGCATGTTGCAAGAAAGCATCAGGTTAGAAGGGAGTGATAGAGTAGAACTGCTCACCTCATGATAGCCAGAAGTATAAAAAAGAAAGGAAAGGGCTGAGGCAGGAAATACCATTAAGGACATTCTTACCAACTCCCTATGATCTACTTCTCTCAGCTAAGCTTACCTTCCACTGCCCCATGATCTACCAATTGTTGATTCAAAATTTAAATCCTTCTGATTAAATCAATGATGAAGGCAGCTACTTCTCAGAGGCCCCTCTTCTGAATAATATTTACATCAGAGACCAAGCCTCCATATATAAGCCATCGGGGAAAATAGTGCTTATCTTTATTATAACAAGTGCAATACCTTCTTAGTGATGGATGAGAGATATCCTGAGTGACTCTTAGAGCCAATGAATGTGATACACCTTAAATCTGCACACATACACACATGCGTATGTATACACACATACACACACACACACACACACACACATTCTAATGTTGATAAAACATCTTATTCTATAAATCCAACTCATTCTGCAAAGCCCTAGGATTTTTATGATTTCAGACACTCTTGCCTATGTAGCACCCAGCCTTAGTTACCAAATTCATGAACATATTAACACAATGCATTTCCTGATAAATGGTGCAATGAACAGACTTCAGTTCTTTGTCATTGTGAAAGGTAGCCACAGTGGTCTTAGTTGTTAAGCATGACTTTAAGATGTTTCACACAGAACTTCTATCTCATCATGCTTACAAGTTTTCACAGTAAAATATCAAGGCTTTCTTTAACACATAAAAATAAATTATATCTTGATATTTTATACATTATATGCAAATTCATTGTATAAAACTGTTTCTCAATACTCAGATTAATATTACTATCTACCCACAATGGTTATTTACATCTTTATAGCTAAATTTGTCTACTAAAGTCTGACCCATATTAACTATCTTCAGCAACTGTGTATTCCAGCTAGAATAGATTTCACATTAGATTTTATTTAAACAATGTATTTTTCCTGCACTCCATAGACATCCTTTGGGCAATTTGTCATCTATTAAAAAAAAATCCCAATAACATCATTAATTTACTTGCAATGGAAATCCTAGTTCTTTTCTTCATTTAATTTTCATCAGTATCTCTTTAATGAAGAGAAGTTACCAACCAGAGCTTCCAGGGTCTATACCACCAGCCTGGGAGCACATAGGGAGGGACACATGGCTCCAGCTGTATATGTAGGGGAGGATGGCCTTATCAGGCATAGGTGGGAGAGGAGATCCTTGGTCCAGTGAAGGCTGGATGCCCCAGTGTAGGGGAATTCAAGGGATGGGAAGGTGGGAGTGAGCAGGTGGGTGGGGGCACATCCTCATAGAAACAGGAGAAGGAGGGATGGGATGGGATAGGGAGTTCCTGGGTTGGGGGGAAATGGAGAAAGGGGATCACATCTGAAATGTAAATAAAATATTCAATAAAAAATGTAAATTAAAAATGAGAAGCTATTTTTAATTTACTTTATAATAGTATCTCTAGTTGTATCTTTGTTGGATCCAATATTAACATCTCTATATTTCTTCTCTGATTATCCCTTTTTCCCTTTTGCTCTGACTTCTGAATTGCTGTCTCAGTGATAGCTTCTGACTTTCTCATTCTTTTCCTATGGTATCTAATGTACTATTCAGATCCCTTTATCCTACTGTTTGTTGCTTTTTAATCATCAACTAAACTGCCAAGAGACTCTTGTCAATTTAATGAAATTTTTCTTTTACAGAATCAATGTTTTTCTAAAAGCATAGGTGAGATGTGGTCTAATATTTCCTGTGTCATAAAGCTTATATAATTCATAGATGGGAACTGGGTCTTTCTTTATAATCTTTATTTCATTTGAGTTATGTTCCCATATTCATTTATTTATTTTTATTTTTCTGAAACTTTTTTGAGGGTATGGGTGGGGGACAGATTCTGAGACAGGGTATCTCTCTGTAGCCCTGGCTATCCTGAAGCTAGCTCTGTAGACCAGACTGGCCTCAAACTCAGAGATCTGTCTGCCTCTGCCTCTCCAGTGCTGGGACTAAAGGTGTGTGCCACCGTGCCCAGCCTCCTTTACATTAAACTTTTAAGTGAAATATGAGAAAGCTTTACCCATATGAGTATCTGTAATGGCTACTGATAGACACTGTAAGAGTCAGATCTTACAGGACCTGATGAAGAAAGATGGGAGCTGTCTTTTAACAACTATTTCTGGATTTCGTTAAAGACATAGGAGTAGGAAGTCTGTCTTCTGAGTATTGTGCTACATCTGTCTAGAACCCAAACAGCTTGATATTGATGATGTACTGTCTTTAGCATCTAACTAGAATGTTTCCCCTCTACAATAGGATTTGCAGTTTATTCAATCAGTCATTATGGTAAGTGGGAGCCATGTGTGTTTCCATGACACCTCCGTTCCTGGTAGGCTGCAGACCTGAAAGCCTTACACAGTCTTTGAACCACCACTGTCCAGGCCCCACACCTTCCCTTCACCTCCATTCCCTAACACATCACTTTGGGTATATCACAGTATTCTATTAGAAAGCATTTCTATTTATTAAAAACTGGATTTTTCTATGAACTCTGAGCTGCTTTATAAGCTGAGTGGCAATTTATATTAAAACTACTTACTTTTTGTAATGTAAGTTAAGGTTGTTTGCAAATGAGGAAATGGTTAGTTATCATTCTGAGTATGTCATCGCAGTCTGCAGTCCATGGGTTTTAATCAGGACTCTGCATGTTTGGAAGTGGTCTAACATCTACATTATCTCTGAAAACAATGACAAGCCACTCATCAATTTGGATAAATGGTGTCACACAAAAATCAAAGATCATAAATATTTATTTTATGGGTCTAATGATAAGTCTACAAATAGAAGTTTGAATGATACGCCTAAAAGGCAGATGCCATTTTCAAGTTACAGTGATCCAAGGGCTGTGGCTATGCCAGTGAGAAACAACAGCAGTGAAAAACTAAATAGCTTCAGGCTGTATAGTTTCAGAGTGTGAAAATTATAGTGCACAAGTGGATAATCATGCGAAACTTCTCCCATGGAACAGGTACCTAGTATCATGGCACTAGGTAAGGGATACCTAAACCCAGATGGGACAGGCGAGTGGAGGGTAGGCACAAGGATTTTCCTAAAGAAACAAAGTGAGGTCTAAGAGATGCACCAGAATTTTCTAGTCAAAGAGAACATCGAGGAATCTGTTGTGTGTCAGAGAGAGAGAGAGAGAGACAGAGAGAGAGAGAGAGAGAGAGAGAGAGAGAGAGAGAGAGAGACTATTTTTGCATGATTACGTGATCAACAAAGGTGTGTTGTTGTGTAAATATGTGATTAAAAATATGAGACCACAGAGAAAATATATAAAATATTTCAGTTTGGCATATAAGACCAGGTCAGATTTGGTGCCAATGAGAGGCACAGAACCTCCACATATATCCCAAGCTAAGAGAATATCTAGCATGTGTCTGAGCACTTAGCATCCATGGAAGAAGGAATATACAAAGATTTATATACTATACTGAGGAGCCAAATATCATCCTATGAGCAATAGAAAGTTAACAGATGACGGCTAAGTTTGGGCTGAGGCATGTGGTTTTCCAAATCCTCTTAGAAAATTTCCCCTGAAAGGAACCTTCCTCCTGTGGAGATAGAGGTTCCCTTCCCCTTTCTGCCCCGCCTGCTCCTTTGCCAAGAGCACTGAACAGGAAGAAGTGTTTGCTTGGAGATGTTGCTAGGACAGAGAGGCTGTGAACAAAGACATCACACATTACCCAAGCAGGGGCATACGTTCAGAAGACAAGAAACCCTGCTCACCATACCAAGTATTAACTTATAAACAAGACTCCTAGCTGTATGCCAGCCCAGACTTCCAGAAAGAGAATAGGTAAGTCAGTCTTGTCTGTCTGTCTGTTGTCTGTCTATCTTCTGTTCATCTGACACATACCCCTGACACACTTGAGACTGCCGCTTTTATAAATGAAATTAGCATTGTAAGCTTATGAGCAAGGGTCATTTCAAGAGTAAATATTCTTGAATTACACGACAATTACTTATTAGACAGGAAACCACAAATGGAGACAAGGTTAAGACCTAATGCTAAAGTACCTATGAAGGAGAGAGTTTCCTATCAGTGTTCTGGACACGTATGGTCACCTCCTTTCACCTGTCAGTGGAATGCCTGTCTTCCAGCTCTGCCTTGGGTACTCTGAAAAAGACACAAGGCCAAGCCCAGCAGCTTTACCCTCAGATTCTGATGATGTTGCTCTTATCGCCACAGCTTCCTGAATCCCCATCATCATGAACTGGCACATGATCATCTCAGGGCTTATCGTAGTAGTGATCAAAGTTGTTGGAATGACCTTTTTTCTGCTGTATTGTGAGTATTTGGGGGAGCTTTCTCCTCATCATCTTTATTGTTTTATTCGACTCAGAATGCCAGATTGAGTGTAAAGGTTCAGTGCCCAAGTTTCTCCACATTGTCTTCCACACTCTAGCAGACATGTGGGGGCAGGTTCCATGATCTACAATGGAGATACACAACTGACTGTAAAAAGGATAGAGTCCTTACATGAAGCTTTTTGGGAGAGTCTTCACTGAATAAACTAAACTATAATGTTTAGTCTGGCTTTTTAAATTGTTGTTATAATTTTAAAAGTTACTGTCGCAGTTCAACACAATAAAGTTGTATGAAGAGCTAACTATAAGAGCAAGATTTAACAGCAGGGTGTGTGTGTGTGTGTGTGTGTGTGTGTGTGTGTGTGCTTTGTGTACATAAATTCTTCTCAATGAATTCATTAGTATAAGAAGCCTCATAGCCAAAGCTTTAGTTCTGAAGCCGGTAGGAAGGAAATGTGGGTAAATGGCAGCAGTTGAGTAAGAGGTGTTTTCCTTGTGACCCAATGTGAACATGTAATAACTATAACGGGCACAGAAAAAATGCACAAGTAGGTAAGCGAAGTGTGAATATACATACACCCCATGGAGGTAGAGAGCTCAGTGCTTCCTCCTGTGGTCACAGCTTCCTGGCATCCCCTGTGGCTCATTTGCTGCCTTCATTTGCAGCCACACTGGGGCTGAGCCACTAGCTGGTTGTCTTTGCAGTCCCACAGGTTTTTGGCAAAAGTAATGATGGCTTCATCCCCATGGAGATCTATGGAACTACTAATGTACAGAATGGTAATCTCTCTAGCATCCAGCTTCTATGTCTTGAATTCTAACAGTTCCTATGAATTTGCATACAGATGCTGCATGAAGGCCCTGTTCTCCTTTACGAGTGTGAAAATGAACAGAAAACTCATTGATCACTGTCTCTGATTTTTCCGTTATTGGTACTAGGTATCAAATCCAGGGCCTTGCTCATAGAAAGGACAGTCTAGTACTGAACTATACCACCCCCAGCCCCTGTATGAAATTTATGATCCTTAGTTTTCCCTTTGGGTTTGATAATGATGTATGAGACTACTATAATGTATTGTAAGTGAATTTCATAGATTCCTACAAAGAATTGTTACAAAGTAAATTCTATCCAGGTGTGGTGGCTCACACCTTTAATCCCAGCACTCAGGGGGCAGAGGCAGGTAGAACTCTAAGTCTGAGGCCAACGTGGTCTACAGAGCCAGTTTCAGGCCAGTCGGGGCTACACAGAGAAACCCTGTCTGGAAAATAGAAAAAGCAAAATTCTGGCACTAGAAGATGCTTCATTTGGTAAAGTATCTGTCCTTCATGCATGAGGACCTGAGCATAGATCTCCAGCACACAAGTAAAAGTCAAGTCTTTGCAGTGTGTGTCTGTAATAGCAAGACTGGTGGATGGAGACAGAGACGAGAGGATGCCTGGTGCTCATTGGCCAGTCAGTGTAGTTAAATTAATGAATTCTAGGTTCAGAAAGAGATCCTATCTTAATACGTGAGATGGACAAAGATTGAAGAAGGCATCCAGTGTCAGATACTGAGCCCCTCACACATTCACACACAACTGTAAACACATGTCCATACACCCACTCAAACATGTACATACAATGTACACACACAAACACACGTACATACACGCACACACACACATGAAAGAAGTCATGTTCCAGAAATAAAAAAGACTGGGCATCATTTTGTGTGCTAAAAATTATGCTAGACCCATCATGTGCTAAGAATTAAAACAGGTTAATAATCAAGCCTCATTTATAAAACAAAAGGATTAATGCCAGATGTTTCACATACAGAGGATGTGGTGCCTCTAATCCCATCTCTCTTTTTTTATTTGATTTATTCATTTTTATGTGTGTGAATGATTTACCTTCATATATATGAATATATATCACATGCATGGGGTGCCTATGGATGCCAGAAGGACACTGTATTCTCTGCAACTAGAATTACAAGTGGTGTGAACCAGCATGAGGGTGCTGGGAACTGTGCCATCGCTCTAGCCCTAAGCCCACTCTTGGTGCAGCTTTCTGCAAGAACTCCCTGACACTGCCTCTTAAGATATGGGTTACTACTGACATCTTTATGACCGAAAAAAGTAATTTCTAACTTACAAAAATGGTCTATTATAATATCAAAGTCTCTGAGCTAGGGAGTACAATAAAATATGAATGTTCATGTCTGTTTTATCAATAAGATTTTAAGTGACTAGTTGGCGTCTCGGTAAATGAAAGTAGTCTGAAGCATAAACAACAAATAACCAGGGCCCCTAAGAGGACATTCCAGTAGCCTATGGAGCCACGGCAGCTGTCTGCTCAGACAGCCAGTGCATCTAAGAATAAGGAGCCCCTTAGGGGCCATTAATCTCTACATTTTGTATTTTAAAAAGTAAACTTCTACTCTTAGAAGGGCCATTAATCTCTACATTTTGTATTTTAAAAAGTGAACTTCTACTCTTAGAGGAATATCCAGCTCAGTTACCTATTTCCTTATCTGTTGCAACTCCTGTATCCTGAATCCGCTTTAATCAGTTACCATCAGCAGAGCTGAGGAAATATTAATGAGAAAAGCATCTAAAGGTTGCCCAGGATTATAGCCTCTCATAGAGGGTTTGGACTCCAGAAATAAAGCGAACAGCCAAACTGCTGTGTGGAACCTGGAGTAAAAGTATGTGGGCAACAAACAAAAAACAAATGGACTGGGAATTATTTATTTTTCCTCTTCTTTTTTCTTGGAAGAGGTCACAAGGGTGGGTGGGAGTGAGCCTGGGAGAACTGGGAAGTGAATGTGATCATGATGTACTATGTAAAATTCGCAAATGATCAATAAAAATATTCTGTTGGGTAAAAAAAAAGTGCTTCAAACAGCTCTCTGGAAACAGTGTCAAGCATGTATATAAGAAAGGAGTGAGAACTTCCTTGGGAGGGCTCTCTCTCTCTCTCTCTCTCTCTCTCTCTCTCTCTCTCTCTCTCTCTCCTAAGCATTTCACATCTACTACTGTAATGGGGATGGATAGGTAGATAGATAGATAGATAGATAGATAGATAGATAGATAGATAGATAGATAGATAGAAGGATTTGAGTACCAAGCATAATAGATCATGGTAACAGATGGATGCTTCAAAGACAGTATTTCTGATGATTCTAGTTCAGAGTGGCCAAAGCCTTTGTCCTCTCCATAGTGTCTCTTTCAGCTTCTTCCCTTCTTCCCTCCTTCTTTTTGTACCTTCCCATCTCAAATCCACCTACCCCAAATAAGATTTTCATCAAGGATGGTAGTTTATCTTTCCACTTCTGGATTATCTAGAACATCAGGGATTTTTAGAAACAAATCACTCAGAATTCAGCAGCCCACAGCCTAATGACTGCTGTGTTCACTCTATAGTAACCATCAGGATTTCTTTTTCATTTCAGTCTCACAGATTTTTGGGGGAACTGATGAAAGCATCATTCCTACAAGAAGCTATGGAACAGGTACAGTGCGTAATTCTGGGCTCCTCCCACCTCCCTGGTATTCAGAAGCTGGATTCTCAAGGACTTTTCCCAACACCTCCTTTCTTATGGGACTTTGGCTCAAAGGGACCATGAAGAGCTTTCATTCCCTTTATTTTAGGGACAAGAAAGTAGACTGGAGTGATGAACTTTCTTCCTGAATTGGGAAGAATTTATATCATGATGTAGTTACAAAGAAATGTGCCCCACAATTTTATGACTCTGTTCCAGGGCTCACACTCCAAACCACTAATCACATGTATTCCTTCTCTGCCTCTGTCTCTGCTCCTTCCTCCCCTAATCTCTCCAGACTGTCCCAAAGACTGGGATTTTCACCAAGGAAGATGCTTTTTCTTCTCCACCTCCGAATCATCTTGGAAAGCCAGCAGGGATTATTGTGCAACAAAAGGATCCACACTGGCAATTGTCGACACTCCAGAGAAACTGGTAAAGCATTGGGATGGTCTAAGAAAATAGTCTACACCCGCTGCAGTCGGTGGAGGCTATGGAACAATTTGGTGATGTAAGGGTAGGATGATGGTGAGGAGTAGAGGTGTGCCTAGCTGAAAAGTTCACAGTCCTTCTTGTAAACCTGAGATTGGAAGGTTCTTCATTTCTATCTAAACTAGAAATCCAGATTCTGTTGTCTTCCCTATAAACCACAGCATCAGGCTAGTTCCCTAGGGATGGACCAGGACATTTAAAGTGCAAGAATTGACCAAAGACCTAATGTCTGAAGAAGTGGCTTAAGGACTGGGAGGATAGCTCAATGGGTAAAGTCATGTGCTACCAAGCCTGATGACCTGAGTTGAATCTCAGAGATCTGAGATTGACATAATACAAGGAGAGAAGCAACTCCCGCAAATTGTCCTCTGATCTCTGATCTCCACAGAAAGGCTGTGTCACTCACATGTGAGCACATACATATGTACAAAATAAACAAATTTAAATAAATAAATAAATAAATAAATAAATAAATAAATAAATAAATGTCATATGAACCTACTAAGATGGTTCAGCAGATAAAGGTTCCTGCCACTGGACCTGGTGACCTGAGTTCAGTCCCTGAAACTCACATGATCCCAGAGAGAACCAGCTCCCACAATTGGTCCTCTAACCTCCAAAAGTGCCACATGCATGACAGTACACATAAATGTATACACACAAGCTCACGAAAAACACACTGACCCAAAAATGAGTGTTTGAATGAATGTTAAACATAATAAAAATTTGTTACTGAAAAATTACAGAATATTTTGTGGGATATTAGTGTATATAGTAAAGGACGAAGATATGAGTTACTGAGATATTAATGTATGATCTCATTGTACATAAGAAAATATATTGATATAATTAGTAATGTGAAAAACAAAGAATTAGATAAAAGTTTACTTTTGTAACAATGAAAATAGACTAGGACTATGTGGCAGCTTTGTTTATTATATCCTTTTACCTTGTGATGGCCGTGAAACATATTATTACACATATGTAATGAGAAAATTAGAGAAATTAAAAATAATTGTTTACATGTAAACAATAGAACATTATATTTATCAATTTATAGTTGTCTCTTCTTCAAACATTACCATTGGTTGGATACTAGGTACTAGGCTATACACTACTTATGTTTTTCTTCTCTATCCCTTCCTCCCAAAAATATCATCCTCTGATGGGGCAGAATTTTCAAGAAGGCTGTCCCTGAACAGATGGCCAAGGCCAGCAATCAGAATCCCACAAATTCTTTAGGATGAAGCACTCGAGTGAAAAAGCAAGATATTTTCACATAGCAAGAGAGAGGCAGAGGATGGGGAGAGAAAATATAGGGTGAAGAGAAGAGGGAATGAGAAAACTTGAGCCCTCCATTTCGTCTACACCCCATTTAAGTTTTGGTGTATCCGATTCCTTGCCATGCTACTCTTCTCAGCCTCCTCTGCATATTGACCACAGAAAAAAATCACAGCATTGATGTGCCGATGATAACTCTCAATACATTATTTTCACTTGATTCAACTTAATTGGGAGTGTGAAATTTTCTGGAATAACGAAAATCCTACAAAGAGAATCATTCCAGACATAAAATGTATATTTGAAATGACCTGTTTTTAACTGTGATGTCTTCCTTCTCCATTCCTTCTGCTTGACTCAGAAAAACAATACTGATATCACCAGGGTATTTACCAGTAATGTAAGTTCTTCGTCCTCTACATAAGACCTTCTGCACCTTGGTCCAGATATCCAGACTATCTTACTTCCTGAAAAGTTTCAGAGCTTCTCAGGGATTAATGGCCAGTGTCAGTGTCAGTCAGCATCTAATCCTTGGCTGCCTTCCTGATTCCCAGGACCAGACCAACCATTTACCACCAGCTTGGGATGCAGCAGTGAAGAACTCACTGATGAGATTCTTTTTCAATTTCTAGAAGTTTCTTCAGGACATAGCTGGTGATGAGAATTATTTTATTGGTTTGATACGTCAGCCTGGAGAGAAAAAGTGGCGCTGGGTCAACAACTCTGTGTTCAATGGCAAGTACGTGAACAGCCTGCATTTCTCTCAAGATTTTTGCATAAGACAAAGCCTGATTGTCAGACTTAGCTCAGAGGCTTAGACTGGATTCTGTTCTACTTTTCTAATTGCTTCCAACCCATTTCTTTCCTATTTAACTTTTTTATTCCTTTCATTTATATTACAATAATATAATATATTACATATTATATTAATATATTATAATGTTATAATTATGTTAAGTTATATATAATATTACTATATTACAATATATATTAGAACTACTACTGTATCTCATATGATATTTCATAGGTCATTGAACTATTTATCATGTCATTTCCCCAGATATAGATCCTTCATTTGAAAAAGTTTATTATATACCTATGCCTTATCTATGCCTCAAAGTTGAACCTATAACCCTTAAGATCCCCTCATGGCATCACTCCATGGAGTCAAAGTTTGCAGGAGTCTGTAATATTCCGTTATTCATATGGAAATGATGAGTCAGACAAGGACCAAGCTGGGTCTCCAACCTGCAAATGGATATCCTTACAGGGGGATGAAACTTAATATCCATTCAGTGTCTACTCTCCATCAGCCATTGCGCTGTGCTAAGCATGGATTACATCTTCCTGTGTTCACTGGAATGCCATAGAGAAGGCTTTTATTCCTCCCAAGCTGTTGAACCAAGTATGAGAACAGTTAGAAATGTGTTGAATTTCCTATACCAACAGGGTAGAGCTATCATTTGATTCTACAGGACCTTGATCCCAAATAGCATGCAATTTTTTTATGAAATGAGACTTTGCAGTCAGACCAAAAGTATCTGAATGACAGAAAGGAAGTATAAGAATGCCAACAATTGCCTTCACCACGTTTAACCTGGAGCCAGCTCAAATCCAGGAAAGAATTAGAAATATCCCTCTCCTCCTGCCTCAGGTCTCCCTGTTATAAACACGCATCCAATACTAAAATGTCATTGTGGGTGACAGCACATGGGATATTTTCAACCTAATATGAGCAAGTTAGACCTAGATTCTTGAAATCTGTGAATGTTCACAGGAGAGTTGAGAGGAATCGTTGGGTATGGGGCTGGATTGGTGACAATGTATTGAAAAGCAGGAATCTACGTTGGGATGAAAGACCCAGTGCCAGAGAATGTGTGTGTGGTGGCATGAGGCTGCATTCCCTCCATGAACAGCTCCCGTGAGAACCTCACCTCACTAACAGTTAAAGTCAGAATAGAAACCAGGATCCTAACCAAGCTTTCTCTTTTCATTTAGTGTTACCAATCAGGATCAGAACTTCGACTGTGTCACTATAGGTTTGACAAAGACGTTTGATGCTGCGTCATGTGATGTCAGCTATCGCTGGATCTGTGAGAAGAATCCCAAATGATCTCTACAAGAGTGAATCTTTACAGAGCCAGCAAAAGAGATTGTTACTGAAACCAGTCCAGGAAATATATAGTATCAAAGACTGTGCCCATCTTCATTAGGTGGCGTTCCCTAAGGACTGTGCCCATCTTCATTAGGTGGCGTTCCCTAAGGAATCCTCAACGTCAATGTGTCACTCCCTTTTACAAACATCTTCACATGGTAAAACTCCTTTTCTGCACCAGGTATTCCTCAAGACCACACTTCCTATGAGAGGGGACTGGATTCTAGTTATCTCCAGACAAGGGCAGGTTTCTGGAGATGAAATTGATATGGAAATGCAATCTGTTTCTGTAGAGCTGAGCCTTTTGACTAATCAGTAGAGTTTTGTCTGTTGACAGAACTATTTCATCCTTAGAAAACATGTCTATGCCACTGAGGGGAAACTGCTCGAGGAACAGATAAGAGAACTTTTAGGAAGCACTATGAGCGGAAGACTATAAACTCAGTTTCACAGCCTCCCCCATTCCCGAAAGACTTCCATTCTCATACTCCATCCTAGAAGCAGAGGCCCTCCTGAGTTGGGGGAGGACCTCTACAGCTCGACTTGGAACTGAACAAATATTGAGGGAATGAAGAAAATTCTGAATAGAACAGAGATAAACACGGAGGATACGGAAAGAGATAGGAAGAAAGTGGAAGTGGGAAGGAGGGGGAAAAGGAGTGATGGGCAGGAGAAAAAGAGACAGGAGGGGCCAGGAAAAATACTTAAGCTAAATTTTTTTCAGGTTTTGGATAAAAGTCTATTGTGACATATATAATACCTTTTCATTAGAAGAGAAAAGGCAAAACTGGGGACGAATGGAGATCCTGAGAGATGAAGCAGAGGTTCATTTGATCACAAGGAAAGAAAGGCAGGAATGAGGTAGAACACTGCTTGGGCACCTTAACTGTTATCACAAGAAGATACAAGCATCATACATACCTAAAGTATAGGGAAAAAGAGATGTATTGGTTGTTTTAAGTAACAAGAATTAAACTGCAGAGAAGCCTATAGAAAGCTAAAGGAATTAAAGCCACCCAATAATCAACTCATTATTTTCAACTAATAGCAATATGAACATGTATCACTAGTCAAAATAAATTGTAAATTCTGTTGTTACAATACTAAGTTATTTTTCTAATTTCTAGGTTTCATATTTTGTGTATTAGTGGATCTATATTTTTTTAATGAGATAATATACTACCTATTAAAACATGCTTGAAGAAGGCCACCAGAAATAATCTAGTAGATAATGGAATTAGATTTGTACCCAATGAGCTAGGTATTTTCTGATTGTCTTAACACATCAAAGCTAGGTCAAGGTGGGATGAATCTATGGTAGAGAGAAGCAATTGGGTTCTAACCAGATGTAAGCTCCAGAACTCAGACAACAGAAAAGGAAGCCTTAGACATTTTTGAGAAAAGGGAACTTTCGTTGCCACACTTCCTGTCTTATGATAAAAGAGTTGCAGACTCCTGGGGTCAGGAAATGAGGACACCCAGTGATTTCTGTGGTTGAAGTCTGAGTATCCCACAAGATGAGAAGTTACTCATGTACAGGTTCTTAAAGAAGCCTAGACAGGGGATGGCGTGAGAAAGAGAATATTCAGGGACTCTATATATCGTTCCAGTTACTGGGAAAGGGACTCATGAAGGATAGATAAATGTGGCCTTTGTTAGGAAGCAGTGATATGAGTTTTAAAATGGACTTAGTATGACATTTGGGTTGGAGTTTTGACTTTGCTTCTAAAATACTTTCCCTTACACATCAGGCACACTAGGTATAGTCATTATAGCTTCATTAGGATATAAGTAACATGTCTGAAAATTTACCTATTTGAATGTACAGCTCAAGAGATTTGGTACATTCACTGTGGTTTACAGCCATCACCTCAGAAAGAAATCCTGTAAGCATTAGGTATCACTGTACCATCTTTGTACTTCTCTCAGCCCTATGGAGCCACACTGGGCTACTTCCCATCTCTACACAGTTCCTTATGCTGGGTGTCATGTGAATAGAAGCGTACAATGTATGGCTTTTTTTTTTTTACTCTTTCCCCTGCTTAGAATAAGGTTTTCAAGATTTGCCCACGCATTTCAGCATGTAGCAGTGCTACAGTCTGGGTCTTGAGTGTCCCCCCATAGGTCAAAGGATCATTCTGTAGGATTGTGATATTGGAATGTGGTAGAGACTTTAAGAGGTAGTAATTCCTAGAATGTACTGAGGTCCCTGAGAGTGTGCTTTCTCTGAGGGCTGTACTATACTCACCCCTTTCATTTTGCTCCAAACCCAGGAGTGGTTGTCCTCTATTTTAACATGAAATGTGGCCAACTTATTGTCGCTTAATGTGACTTAATGTGGCCGAATTATTGATTGAAATCTCCAAAATCTTTGGATAAGTTCTTTATCTCAGGTATGTGTTACAGTGGTACAAAGCTTGTTACCACAATCTATTTCATTCTCTAGATGAATGCTATTCCATTTGTTTATTCCTTCAACAGCTGATCGGTAATTTAGCTTTGTACCTATCAAGTGGTATAACTACTACAAACATCATTTCTCAAGTATGCACCTAGGAGTGGAATTGCTAATTCATGTTGTTATCTGATACATTATTTAAAGAACTTTCTGTCTTCAAAAACCTTCCTGCCAGGAAGGTGTATGAAATCTAACATTTCCCATACCCTTGTCAACACGAGCTCTTACTTAGCTGCCTTGCTTTATGCAAATGTGCTCCCATGGTGACCTTGATTTATATTTCATCTCCATTCTTCATCATCTTTCTTGTACTTTGAATAACCTCTTCTGCTGAGAATGATGTTTTTGTACATGTTAGACTTTTTAACTTAAGATGTAAGGAAAGGATATGGCCATATCAACACATCTTATTTTGTTAATATTCTTGAGCTCTCAGCTTCTATGTAAAGATCTAGAAAAAGCTCTGTAATTGAGTTTTTATGACATGCTGAAGATGAAAGCCATCACTTTCTACATACTATGCCACCCTTCTCCCAATAAGCCACAGTATCCTTCCTTTGTTTTTTGTGATTTTTTTTTAGTAAAATTTATCATTAAAACTCTTGTATGTGATACTCAGGGAAATAAAACAAAAACTGGTTGATCGATCTCTGTAACCGACATGCCGGATTTCAAAACACTGACACAATTAGAAGGTGTACAATCAATGCAACTTACAAAAGTAAATTTAACTTGACAATTGAAAGAGCCTTAACACATGTGCTGACACCTATTTGAAATCTAGCTCCTGCCCCAACTTTATCTCTGGCTAACATAACATTACAGAGAACTGCAGCTAACTTCCAAATATGTCTCTGAAAATGTCCAAAACCAGACTTCCAAATGAAGACTGTTATTTCCAACATTGTATTGATTTCTAGACCAGTCCACAATTGAGTTTGAATAACTGGTCACATTTAAGAATAATACAAGAGTTTCTTTTCTTTCTTTTCTTTTCTTTTCTTTTCTTTTCTTTTCTTTTCCTTTCTTTTCTTTTTTCTTTCTTTTTTTTTCTGAGACAGAGTTTCTATGTATAGCCCTGGCTGTCCTGGAACTCACTCTGTAGACCAGGCTGGCCTCGAGCTCAGAAATCCGCCTGCCTCTGCCTCCCAAGTGCTGGGATTAAAGATGTGCGCTACCACTGCCCGGCCAATACAAGAGTCATTATAACTTCTCTTTTTGATTCTCTGTTCCACAAGGTCTAAAAACTTGAGGCAAGGCAGTTTGTCCCATCAGGCGTTTAGGTTAGAAATGGTGGGTCGGGAATAGATGACATCTGAAATATAAATAAATAAAATATCCATTAAAAAAGATATATAGGTAGGAAAACATGTTCTTAGAGAAATCTGTTATGGTGTGGGATTGTTAGAGCAAAAATGTCTCAAAGATATAATAATATTAAAAGAAACTTGAGTGTCTGTGATTGAAAAAAAATCTTATATGTGAGTAAAAACATCACACACCAAAACCAACCAGACCCAAAGTCTATACAATTAAATGAGTTTATATATAATTAGAAATGGCTTTTGAAATGGAAGCTGTGTGACTTTACATAATATTTTATACTTTCAGTAGTGAGTATATTTTAAGCACCTATCCACCACTCAAGTCAAAAAAAAAAAAAGACAGAATTATAACTTTATAAAACAAATAGCTTTATGTCCTCTTTCTTTTTTTTTAAGATTTATTTATTTTATGAATGTGAGTACACAGTTGCTGTGATCAGACATACCAGAAGAGGGTGTCGGATCACATTACGGATGATTGTATGCCACCATGTGGTTGCTGGGAATTGAATTCAGGACCTCTGGAAGAGCAATCAGTGCTCTTATCCACTGAGTCATCTCTCCAGCCCTTATGTCCTCTTTCTTAACTCCTTTGTTTTAAGACAGGCTCTTGCGGGGGCTAGAGAGATGGCTCAGTGGTTAAGAGCACTAACTGCTCTTCCAGAGGTCCTGAGTTCAAATCCCCGCAACCACATGGTGGCTCACAACCATTGTAATGAGATTTGATGTCCTCTTCTGGTGTGTCTGAAGACAGCTACAGTGTACTCATAAATAAAATAAATAAATCTTTTTAAAAAAAAAAAGACAGGCTCTTGCTACACAGTTAATGCCAGCCCAGAAATCAGTGTGAACTCAGCATAGCTGAGTTTACAATCCTCTTCCCTCTGCATCCTGAGTACTAGGATTACAGGTATGCATCCAAAAGTGTTCCCCAAAATACCATGATTTGACATCAGGACTGCTTAACAAAATCTCTCTTTACTTGGACAAATGTGTGTGTGAGATGAAGGTCTCGGGCCTGTGGCATATATTAAAATTGGATAGGAGTTTGACTTTGCATACCCTTTAAGACAAGTAAGAGAGATTCGATTATTTTATTTTGTATAGGAAATTTTATTTACAATTCATAATATAAAGTAGTATATGTTTGCAGAAATAAAAAGAATATTAAAAGATACACAGTGCCAAGTCTTTCCTTCCTTCATGCCCACTTCATTGCCATAATTTCAGGACTATTTAACACTTCCTTCTTATGTTGCCATCCACAGCAGCTGCGACTGTGCAGCCATTTTTGTTCTGTACAATCTGCTTTTCTTGCTTAAGAATATAGAGCTTATAGCATTCCTAGCTGTTGCAGAAAGAACATTATTGTTCTGTCAGCTTCATAATAGTTCATTACATGGATAAAATGTTGTTTAAACAGCTCCCTATGGACATCTCATTCAACATCAATCCGTAGCTCTTAAAAATTGCTACAGTGGATTACTACACAAAGTA